TGAAGTCACCGAAGGGCTGCCTGGCCGGTCCCCAGCTTTCTCCCTGGAGAGCGCAGGCCTTCGCAGCAGGAAGGAACCAGCATTGTTTACGACTTGGCCAGAGCCCTCCCCAGCTCCCTCCCTTCCCGGCCACGGCCTGGGTGGGGCCGGCCGGCCTGGCCTCCCCCTCTGTGGGGCCACACCAACACCACCTCTCTGGCCCTCTCAGCTCGGCTTACGACCACGTCCGCAAGATCCGCGTGGCCATCAAGAAGATCAGCCCCTTCGAGCACCAGACCTACTGCCAGCGCACGCTGCGGGAAATCCAGATCTTGCTGCGCTTCCACCACGAGAACGTCATCAGCATCCGAGACATTCTGCGGGCACCCACCCTGGATGCCATGAGGGATGTGTATCCTTCACCTTGGCCAGCTGGCTGTCCAGGCGGCCCCAGAGCTGGGCTGGGAGAACGTTGGGTTTCTTACTGTTTCCTTCTTCCCTGTCACCGTCCAGAACTAGCCCAGGGAGAGAAACCTAGCGGGAAAGAGGCCACAGGAGGCCGGAGGGCTGGGCGGCCTCGGGTGAATCCTGGCCTGCTGCAGCCAGGCACTGTGGCCTGGGGCACGGCTGCTCTCTCTGCTGTGCCTCTGGGGTCTGGGCAAGATGGTCTCTGTGCGGCTTTGTCTCCTGATATGTCCAATATTGTGACAGGACCCAGCCTCTGCCCACAGCCAGTTCTTGTTTAACAGACGGTTCTTTCCCCTCTGGGTCCTCAGCCTGGGAGGCAAGGAGAAAGCTGCCCCTTTCTGAGGGCCTACTATGCGTCAGGCGCTGTGCCCGCCCAGGGCTTTCACATTTCCAATTCTACCTCCCACCTGCCCGATGAGACAGGTCTCGGCTCCCTTTCGTAGATGAGGAGGTTGAGGCTCAGAAAGCCTTCAGTTGCTGCCTCTGCCCCTCCCCCAAAAGAAACCCTGTCCTTTCTCCAGGACTTCCTGCTGGGAGCCCCACCCAGTCACCTGTGGCCTTGCACCTTGCCCAGGGAGGGACAGCCTGGCCTTTGTTGCCCTCCCCCCATATCACTTTCCTAGTTTGCTGTCCACTTCCTGCCTGCCTCTGTTGTTAGCACTTCTAATACTGTCACCTCTCGCCCACTCCACCCACCCCCAGTCAGTCCCAGTTCTCCACCCAAGCACGGGGATTGGTACCGCAGCGCCTGCAGGCTCCCACCACAAACTGCGGGCAGGAAACCTCCACGCTCACTCCCAGCTCGCTGTGTGACCTTCAGCGTCTTCGTCTATAAAACAGGGTTGGCCCGCATGTTCTCAGAAGGCCCTGTGGGGCTGATTCTAGAAGATAGCCCTTATTCTTGTAGAGACAAGCCAAGAGACGTGTGTGTGTGTGTGTGTGTGTATGTATGCAAGTTTAATCTTAAATTATCTAAGGACATTTACTCCTCTCTTCTGATGCACGGCCAAGCACTCTTTGAGCAGGAGCGTGCTGTTGGGAGTGTCTCCTCATTTGTCTTGCACAAACCATTCCCATAAGGTAGGCATTTATTTTTAAGCAAACATTTATTGCATGCCAGATGGTATGCAGACATTATCTCATTTAACCCTCTCCACAGCCATGTGGCTCAGGCATTGATCATAGCAACACGAGTTCATGTTGCCGAACACTTACAGCGTGCCAGGCACTGGGCTGGCTTCTTCTTTTTTTTTTTTTTAATATATTTTATTGATCTTTTACAGAGAGGAAGGGAGAGAGATAGAGAGTTAGAAACATCGATGAGAGAGAAACATCGATCAGCTGCCTCCCGCACATCTCCCACTGGGGATGCGCCCGCAACCCAGGTACATGCCCTCGACCGGAAGCGAACCTGGGACGTCTCAGTCCGCAGACCGACGCTCTATCCACTGAGCCAAACCGGTTTCGGCTGGGCTGGCTTCTTTACACGGGTCATCTCATCTCTTCGTCACAACCACTCTCGAAAGAACCATTCCTTTTCCTACTTTTCAGACGAGGAAATAGAGGTGCAGACAGGGTGAGGTGGTAAAACCAATGAGCAGGAAGGTGGGGATTTCAGACACCAGCAGGTTAACCCCAGAGCTGCTGCTCTTCGCTGGAGCTCTCCTGCCCTGCAGAACTGAAGTGCTTTTGCTCAGGTCACCAGCTGAGATGCTGCAGAGGCCGAGAGCCCGGGCCTTGCCCAGCCTGTAAGAGGGGTTGGCAGATCTGCTGAGTCTGAGGGGCGCCAGCTGGGGGGCACGCAAAGCCTAGTCACCAGAGCCCGTTCTTAACCAAGTGCCTCCCGCTGCCCCCACCTGTGGGGTCTCCGATACCATCCTCAGCTACATTGTGCAGGACCTGATGGAGACAGACCTGTACAAGTTGCTCAAAAGCCAGCAGCTGAGCAACGACCACGTCTGCTACTTCCTCTACCAGATCCTGCGGGGCCTCAAGTATATCCACTCGGCTAACGTGCTCCACCGGGATTTAAAGCCCTCCAACCTGCTCATCAACACCACCTGCGACCTTAAGGTCAGGGGCCTGGATGCCTGTTCCCTCCTCCCGCCGGGGTCTGGGGCTCCCATTTGACTCATAGTGCCCCGGAGTAGGAGGGCACTGCCAGCCAGGGGAACAGCATGGGCAAGGGCAAGGCGAAATGACTGCTTGGGCGGGGAGGCCTTGAGCACCAAGCTCAGCAGCCCCGGTTGGATTCCAGATCTGCGATTTTGGCCTGGCCCGGATCGCCGACCCCGAGCATGACCACACTGGCTTCCTGACAGAATACGTGGCCACGCGCTGGTACCGGGCCCCAGAGATCATGCTGAACTCCAAGGTAGGGGGCCCACCCCCACCCCCCCAAAGGGAAGGGGCCAGGTCCGGGAAGCCCTGGAGCCACCTCTGAGCCAGGCAGGGACCCCCTGGGCCGGGTCACATTACTCTGGTGCTTGGGGTCTGGAAAGAAGCTAAACACTAGCTCTTCCCAGGCTCTGCTCTCCGCCTCCGGCAGCACTGAATCTCGGTTGGGGTGGTGGCTTGGCCCAGACAACAGGGACCCGTTGAGGCTGGCCCGGGACCCACCACTTCCCCCCCCCGCCTCCCCAGGGCTACACCAAGTCCATCGATATCTGGTCTGTGGGCTGCATTCTGGCTGAAATGCTCTCCAACCGGCCCATCTTCCCCGGCAAGCACTACCTGGACCAGCTCAACCACATTCTGGGTGAGGGGGCCTGGCCAGCTGAGGGGAAGGGAGAGTAGTCTGTTGGAAGTGAGATTTCTTTGGGGTCAGGGTCAGTGAGTCTGTGGGAGTCGGATCAGGAGTCCCACCACGTTTGGAGCCTCTGCAGCACCTCACAGTATTTCAGTGATAGAGATGCTCTCCGCTGGCACATGGGAAAAGCAAGGAAGTGCTGCAGCTGAGATCGGAACTGAGGGCTGCCCGCTCCAGACCCCTGGCTTCATCATCATAGTGTTGTTGGCTGGAGAGAACTGTCAGGGCATGGGATGGGCTGTGGGAGCTCCTGTTCTTGGCTCCTCCTGTTCCCAGAAGGGAGAGAGGATCGCTCACCAAGTCACCTGCCCCACCCACAGGCATCCTGGGCTCCCCATCCCCAGAGGACCTGAACTGTATCATCAACATGAAGGCCCGGAACTACCTGCAGTCTCTGCCCTCCAAGACCAAGGTGGCCTGGGCCAAGCTCTTCCCCAAGTCAGACGCCAAAGGTGAGAGCGACAGGGGGGCCGACGGGGGGTGAAAGCTGGGTGCGTGAGCCCCGCAGCTGCCTGAGCAGACAGGCCCCCTGGGCACAGAGAAGCCAAACAGTACTTCTGGGAGCTGCCCGAGCCTTCGCTTTGACCCCGATTCCTGCCCTTCCTTAGCCCTTGACCTGCTGGACCGGATGTTGACCTTTAACCCTAATAAACGGATCACAGTAGAAGAAGCCCTGGCTCACCCCTACCTGGAGCAGTACTACGACCCAACGGATGAGGTGGGTCAGCCACCAGGGGCAGGCCTGGCGGGTCAGCAGGTGAGCAGGCCTCCCTCAAGGTCTGGCCTGAGCCTCACATCTTTGCCACCCTAGCCAGTGGCCGAGGAACCTTTCACCTTTGACATGGAGCTGGATGACCTGCCCAAGGAGCGGCTGAAGGAGCTCATATTCCAGGAGACGGCCCGCTTCCAGCCTGGGGTGCTGGAAGCCACCTAACCTGAACAGATGCCTCCTCTCCCCGGGGCCGGGTGAGTGCGCCCCACCGCCCACGCGCTGATTCACTCTGAGACCAGGGCACCAAACATCCTGTACCGTCAAAGCTCAGGCCCACGATCCATGTCTGTGGTCGCCACAGAAGGGCCAGAGACTGCCCAGACCGTAGACCTGTGGCCTGCCAGTCTTCATGTCCCTCCTTCCCCCAGCCCCAAATGGCTCCCATTGGTCAACACCCTGCTGCCCCCAGCCCCAGAGGTCACTGCGGGCCCCTCTCACCCATCTGAGGACCGGAGCCAGGTTTTGCCCCTCCCAGTACGGCAGGTGGGGCCGCAATTGCTTTGGGAGGAGCTAGCAGCTCTCGGCCTGACCCAGATACCACGCTTTCTCACACCTGGTGCCCGGGTCAGCAGTTCACAC